CTCCCTCTCTCTCTGACCCTCCCCTGCTCACGCTGTCTCTCTCTCTCCTGGAAATAAATAAAAATATTAAAAAAAAAGAAAAAAAAATTTAGACAGGTGACTTGGCTGGGGGCCTTCTCAGAAAGACGTTCACGGGGACCCTCGGTTGATACGTGCCAATGTTGGCTCATCTGTGTTTTACTTCCCTCCTGCTGCCAGTGTAGATTTGGGTGCTGGGTCCTTGTTTGGTTGGGTTCCTGAGTTCCAGATGTCCGGTCCACTCGCCTTGGTGGCCCAGTCCAGTTCTCTAGGCCAGCTTTGTTGTCTGTGCCTGCTGGTCCCTTTGTCACTTGGAGACAGCCCCCCCCTGCCCTGCTTCTGATTTTGCCTTGTTCATATTTCTCCCCTCCTATGGCTCTGGCCTCCAGCTCTCCTCACGCTTCTTGCATTGGGTGCTTTGCTGATGATCTATGTTCTGGCTCAGGCCTGTTGGGATTAGGGGAAGAAGGAGCTAGATTCCCTATCTACCCTGTGTCAACACACTCCCACATGTCTACAGTACTTCTCTTGGGTTAGACGGATGGCTGATGTGTTCACCCTAGTGAAGGTGGCTAGAGAGGGGAAACGTATTTAATTCACGAAGACAATGAGAAAGGAGGGGAAGATCACATTGAAAGGAATAAAATGACCGGGGGAGGCTTAGGGTCAGATCACTAAGCCCTACGCTGAAGAAATATAAGCTAGTTTTTACAGCAGGAACAATTTATCTATTGTGCTTGATCAATAATTGAGGGGTTATTGGGGCGTCTGGGTGGCTCAGTCAGTTAAGCGTCTGACTTCAGCTCAGGTCATGATCTCACGGTTCGTGGGTTCAAGCTCCGTGTTGGGCTCTGTGCTGACAGCTCGGAGCCTGGAGCTGCTTCAGATTCTGTGTGTCTCTCTCTCTCTCTGACCCTCCCCTGCTCATGCTGTCTCTCTCTCTCAAATAAATAAAACATTGAACAAATTTTAAAAAATAATTGAGGGGCTAGGGCTAGATATCCTTCTAGGTGAGGGCGCAGGAAAACATGCCTTCCTTCATGGAGCTTGTAGTCTTTGGAATAATCTATATAATGTAAAGAAGAAAGAATCAGTCTGTAATCTCTTTATACCTACGTATTTTAGCAAAATACTCTATAAATCTATTGGCAGAAAGACATTGGGAAACCTGGGCTCAAATAGTATGGATGGCCAGGGTAACTTGATTGAGCCTTTAAGAAGTCAATCTGGCAACTCAAAATAAGCACCACATTATAATTATATTCTTGGCCCATTTTTATACCTTCCCTGCTTCTAGAAAGTAATAGAAACGTTTATAATAAACTCACAAGTCTATTAAAATTAGTGTAAAGTACAAGACAGAAATCTTTGGCAGAAGAAAAGAATTCTAGTATAAATACAGAGCATCATCTTGAAATAACTTTTTTCTAGTTTTGAAATTTGAGAATAGGGGGCGCCTGGGTGGCTCAGTCGGTTAAACATCTGACTTCGGCTCAGGTCATGATCTCATGGTTGTGGGTTTGAGCCCCGCGTCGGGCTCTGTGCTCAGCCAGCTCAGAGCCTGGAGCCTGTTTCGGATTCTGTGTCTCCCTCTCTCTCTCTGACCCTCCCCTGCTCACACTGTCTCTCTCTCTCTCTCTCAGAAATAAATAAAAATTTAAAAAATTAAAAAGAAATTTGATAATAATTGTTTTCTTTGGTAAGCAAAAAGGAAGATGTTGTAAATGTCATCTTTGCCCAAAAATAAATAAATAAATAAATAAATGCTCTTAGAGCCATGAGCCTAATATTGTCTTAGTTTTCTAATTTAAATGTTGGTCAGGTACTACATAATGTGGATTGGTCTTGAAAATGATGTCATATGTTGCTTAAACAAGTTCTTTCGAATACTGTTTCAGTCAACTGTGGAATAGAAATCAGAATCAACATCCAAGGGCCCATGTCAGTCGGTTAAGTATCTGACACTTGGATTTAGGCTCAAGTCATGATCTCACAGTTGTAAGATCGAGCCCCCGGGTGGACTCCACCCTGGGCATAGAGCCTGCTTAATATTCTCTCTATCCCTCTCCCTCTGCCCCTTCTCCACATGTGCTCGTTCTCCCTCTCTCTCTCTAAAAAAAAAAAAACCAAAAACCAAAAACCAAACAAAAAACCTCACCAAAACTCAACATCCAAGTAGTTGGTGTAATTGAAAGGAAATCTACATTAGCCTGTAGGTGGCAACTTTTTATTTAATGTGGAAACTTGAAAATCTGATTTATGTTTTGGAGCTAATTGAGGAACCCTCTCAAAGCTTTTCTGAAAACACAGTTTTTGGGATCATCAAATGCTCAGACAAGCCCTAAAGTAAGCCTGAGAGTTCTGTTAACTAAAGCATACGTCTAAGAATTTATCCTAACACACACCTGCGTGAAACTGAGTCCCCGTTATGTTCCATACTCTGTGGTAAGTACTCTTCTTTGATGATCTCATTTCACTCACACAGCTTTCTAAGATAGGCCCTACTGTTACTGCCATTTCATAGATGAGAAAACCAAAGTTAGATTTGTCCAGGGTTGGGGTTGCCAGTGTTAGCAAATAAAAAGACAGGATGCTCTATATTTGAAATATAAATTATTGATACGCAATATTTTATTATAAGTATATTTCGCATATTCCTCGGAACATACTTATACCAAAATATCGTTTCTCTGAAATTCACAGTTGAGGTCATCCTGGATTTCATCTGGTACCTTCGTGTAGGGACAAATGAACACGGCCCAGACACCAGCAGAATCCACCCAGTCTCGAAGGCTCTGGGTTGAACCACGATGTTACGCTGCAAAGAGCATTCTAGCGTCATTCTTCACAAGGGTAAAACTGGAGCTATCCCCAAACCTCAATTGCTAGAATTATACCATTATACATTAATTTGATAGACTAGGATACACACCCATTCAAACCATTTAGAATAACAGCTAGGAAAAAAATCCGTTGAATACCCATCAGAACGGCAAGCATTGAAGCATCTGATGCTATGGGGGGGTGGGGGGGAGAAGGGAGTAATGGAAGCGCTCCGGCACGAGACCGTTCCCCACCACACCGACTTCAAGCTTCGGTTTGTATGTGAATCACGTGATCTGGGTAAACCGCAGACTTCGACCGCAAGGGGCTTAAGATTCAGCAGATGTCACAAGCCCCAGGGACACTGCGGCCGCTGTCGCACGGGAGCCCGGCACCTCCGCACCCCACCCCGCCACCAGCGCGCGCGGTCTTTCCACCTCTTCTCTGGGAAGCGCACCGCACGGCCTTCACACTCGCACGCGCATTTCTTCTATCACAACTGAACTTGAACTTCTTTTTAAAGTACAAGCCCATGGGGCGCCTGGGTGGCTTAGTCGGTTAGGCGTCCGACTTTCGCTTAGGTCATGATCTCGCGGTTCGTGGGTTCGAGCCCCGCGTCGGGCTCTGTGCTGACTGCCAGCTCAGAGCCTGGAGCCTGTTTCAGTCTGTAACTCCCTCTCTCTCTGACCCTCCCCTGCTCACGCTGTCTCTCGCTCTCCTAGAAATAAATAAAAAATAAATAAAAGTACAAGCCCACTTGTCCTTAGCCTTTTTATAGGAGAAAAACCCCGAAGGCAGCCGGTCACAGACCCTCAAGGCTACGGCCCAAACCGGAGCCTCGACAGCGCGCACGACCTCGCCGCGGCCGCCCGGCGCCCACGCCTGGCGCGCGGAGTGACGTCACTCCCGCGCAGGGGGCGGGGCTTCCGTCACGTGGCCCCACGGGCACGCGCGCTCCGGCCGAGACTGCGGCGCGGGCCCGCGGCCGCCAGAGCTCCGGCTGCAGCGCGTCACTCCGGGCCCGCTGTGGCTCGTGCGGCTCGGGCCCGGGCTGTGGCGGGGGAGAAGATGCCACGGCCCGAGTCCCAGAAGGCGGGGATCCTGCGCTGCCGGCGTCGGGGTGAGTAGCGCGCGGCCGGGCGCGGCGGCGTCTGAGCCCGCGCGGCCTCCGTCGTGCCCTCGGCGCCTCCGGCGAGCCGCTGCGGCGCGCGGCCCCGAGGCTGCGGTGTCGGGCCCGAGCTCCGCCCCGCGGGGACCGGGT